TTTTTTCTCCTAGATTTTAGTGCTGTCTCTCTTTGTGTCGGCCTCAGTTCAAGTGGCTCATTTACCTACCCTCATTTCTGTGTTCTCTTTTTCTTCAATATCGCCTATCAGTGTCACTTTAAGTTCCTAAACTAAGTTGTATTGCGACAAATAATTTTTTGTAAATTACGCTATTTACTTATGTGGATTTTTCCTCCGGAAACACTTTAATTTATTTAGCCCAAAGTCTATTTTACAATTTATTTTTTTCTTTTTAAAATCGTTTTATTAATTAAAAGCATCTTGTAATAGCATCCATTATAATATAAATATCACTCTTCGAAATTTGGGTGCGGTATCCAAGTTAAAGTGTACTTTATTTCCAGAATACCCAGCGGCATTAATATGTTTGGAATATTTCCTTGATTAATTAATTATAAAGCAATCCAATCAGTTAATTTATTACTCTAAATTTGGGCCTCAATATACAGAACTTCGGTTTTTCCCTTTCGCTGCATAGGCTCTTCGAATTAGAAAAGTATCTCCCTTACGATTTGAGTCGATTTGCACACTTAGCTGTTAAACTGTCTCCTTTACTGTCTTTACTTATTCTGTCTGCATATAGATGACGCAATTTCTCCTATACTGCCTGCTGATTGCGAGTCAGCCAAATCGTCTCATGCTCATTCTGATGAAGTGGCTCGTCTTCTTGAGGATAGCCAGACTCCACTAGCTCGCATTCTGGCAGGCTACTCTTCGATGTGTTCTCAGCAGTCATCATCTCACGCTCTGAAAAACTCATCAAATCCTATCAACTCTTGTCCCATCATTAAAGACGTGCTACCCCGCTGGCCTTTAGTAGAGCAAGCATCGGTTAGTCTGTTAGGTGCATATAAATTTCCTTGGTCGGTAATTTTTAAAATTCTCCTATAGTCTTTTTAATCTTTAATCTCTCTACCCGACCGGTCGTTAAAAAATTTCTACCTCATGTTTGCACAGAAATTTATTTAAATGTGAATTAATAAAAATAATGATAAATTAATAAATATATATATTTAATAAAATAAGGCATAAATTTTTTTTAAATATTTTGGGTAAATTACTTCAGTCAGCATGGCCACGTAGTATGACGCATGCCGTAGTAATTTATCTGCAAGATTTGGTTAATATTTAGTCTTTATTCAGGATGGATGCAATGAGTCTGCAGTATTATAACTACATTCAGCGAATTACAAATTGGCCTTTTCACAATGCATTAAAATTGCTATATGAAGGGCTTATATAACTCATCTCACTGTTATTTGTCATAATGACAGATTTCAATAAGCTACGATGAGGATTCAATCCTACCTTGGATTACCCTTATATTTAGCTAGGTGCTAAAGGTATGATCGTCTCTGACGGAGCCTGAGATGAACAGACATTTAAGTTAGAAGTCGATTTAACCTGATTTAAGGCCGCTAGATACTTGTGTAATACAAAGTTAGCTGTTGTCTTAGACTCCCAAAATTACTGCATGAACCCCAAATTTAATGAGATTTATCAATATAAGTACCATTGCTAACATTAGCCAGCACATAAATTCCGTGACTAATACAATTTTCGTTTAATTATCCAGACTGAGATTTCTTGTCTTCTTGCTGATGCCAGAAAGTCTCTTGAGGAAATTCTTCCTCGGGGCTACCAACCTATATCTGCCATTCGCCTACCAGATCTTCATCTTACTCGGGAGACTCCTCGCCGCACCCCTAGACGCCAATCTCAACGTCTCTTCTCTGCTAATTCTCAGGAGGTCTCCGAGTCTCTTATGGGTTATTCACCCAATATGGGAGTTTGCGGGGATTCCATGGCTTCATCTGATTCCGAACTTTCTTCCAGTCAGGATAGTTGTTCAGCAGAAGATGAGGATGGCGATGACGAATATGGTTACTCTTTTGTGACAACGGATGAAGTCCGATTGCTCCCAAAGGCTGTAGGTATCACCAGCAAAGATGAAAAAATGTCCATATTGCCACCAAATTTGGACGGTGCTCCGCCTTTATGTCCTAACTCAATAAATTCGAAAGCTCCACCAATGCTGCTTCTGATTGGAGATGGTCTATGTGATTCAAATACACAGAATCCAGCAATTAATGATGTCAATATGTCATCTAGCGCACACCCTATTTCAGGCGAAGCATTGTATTCTATTGACCCACCTGATGGATTTTCTCGCTCAATCCGTCCTTCACGCGCTTTATCTACTGCAGTTAATTCATCCGGAATGGGGGTTACACCACTCATCACCAACTGTTCCTCCACTGGT